TCCCCCTGCCGGCGGCGCGCCAGGTGCGACTGGATGATCTCGGCGAAGAGGCCCCTCCGCAGCAGCGTGTAGGCCAGGGGCAGCAGCTGCCCCACCGTCTTGTGGAAGTACTGCGGGTGAGAGAGAGAGAGCTGGCGTGGGTGACAGGTACCGGACGCGACACAGAGAGAGGGTTTAAGTCCTTTTCTATATCTACAGCTGAAGCGTCCGTGGTTCTGCTGGCTCTGCAAGCCAGGGGACGACCAGGCTCCCATCCCACCGCAGCTGCGAGCGGCTACGGACAGGCAGAACGCACCAGGACCAAGCCCTGGGGGTACCTAGGGGTGAGGCCACTGTTCATCCCTTCTGTTTACTAAACCAGAAAGTGAAGTAACGTTACAGCTGTTTCAAACTGCTGCGTAAGACAGATATCAGGACAGGTCACGGTGTTCTAAAGACTGAAGCTGTCATTGCAGGAGTTTGTCTGCGGTTAATCTCCTGTGCCGAGAAGCACAAAGTGTGAAAGGTGGGGCTTTGCCTCCACCCACTCAGCCAAATGCAAGTAACCATTTCCTTCACGGCCCTCCCAGAACAGAGCTGCTGAAGCAGCAGTCGCTGAAAAAAAAGGGTCCTATACAAGCAGGGCATCAGAGGAAAATACATGTTCCAAATGCTGTAGGGAACTTAAGATTTCCTGCCCTGCTCTCAATCTAAGAAACACATTTGTAATTTAACAGTTTACAGACAGAGCAGGGAGTTTTTCTTTCTTTCCATAGCTAAATATTTTAACTAGTATTTAGCACAACTCTGGGCCTACATTTAGTATTGCAAGGTTTTTATCTTTCTACATGATGCCTTGCAGCACACTTTAGCCAATACTGTTTTTACTGAAAGAAGCTGTTTTGCTTTGGTGTTTCTACAACCATCCGTTCATATTACACTGATGTTGAAGCTTCTTTGTGTGTTACTTCCTAGCCATGTATTTATAACAGACGTGACCCTTTTCATCAACAGGGCAGTGGCTAATACAGAACAAAAAGCATTAGGTAGGATCTTCAGATGTGATTAAGTGCTAGTAACTCGGTCTATCAGCTGCTTTAGGATACTCCTTGTTAATGCACAACCAGAAAGAGACACCCGGTGGGAGGTCTTTTATGGTGCCATCCAGGCAGCGTAGGCAGGCAACTGACCTGGGTTCAAAGTTTTTCAGCTGGGCTTACTACAAACATCAGTCTATTTCTTGATGCAGTTGAACACCAGTGCTGGTGCCTGTGCACGTAGTTGGGGGTAGGAGGCTGTAGCTATTCAGTGTTGTCTGGATCAGACATTCTGCATTTTTAAGAGTCTAATGACAACTCATTGTCTTACACACATCAAATCACAACAGTTAAATGCTTCTGGATTACAGGATTGTGCTTTCAAACAAGCAATTTTAAATTCAACATGGAATGGTGTTGCAAGTGGGACTTCTTAACAGTCTTCACAATTAAGAATATTCTCATAGACTTTCAGAATTCCTAGGGATAATTATGCAATCAAGTTGGGAATAAAGATTTACAACACAGAATAACTCCCGGTCCATGCATAAAATACTGCATCATTTTGTGAAGTATGATTGCTGTTGTACTCACATGTGATCCATAGCAGAACAGGTCCATACCCAGTTCGTATCCCATTCCGTAGTCACATTCATCATTAGCAAACTGAACAAAGGTCAGCATTTCTTGAAGGGGTGCAAAAGCCTTCAGTCTCTCATCATCAGTAGGAGCATCAACAATGGCCTTGCAAATTTTTTTAAGATTAGCTGCAAAAAATCAAAAGCAGAAATATTTAGATGTTTAAATATAGAAGTTCGATATCGCACAGAAGTAGTTTGTGGCAAAAACATACCTGTGTGTTCACATTTACATGACTACTAAGTGGGCACACCCTCAGCTGCTGGTGAAAAAGCTTCCCCCTTTCCTTTGCTGCTCATTCTTGCCCCATGCCCATCCGTCCCAGTTCCCCATACAGAGACAGGCATTTGGTGAACCTGCATCAAGGAACTGATTCTAGTCAGAACAACACTGGGAGAAGAGGAGGGGGATAAGAAATAAACCCACAAGTCCCTGAGTGTCTATCAGGTTTTCTTGATCCGCTTCCTGCATGACTGTGCCAATACAAAAGAGGTCGTCTAAACTACTACTTCAGGAAGTGTTATTTCAGATTTAACATGTTTCATTGATTCTCATCTGATTTATTTAAAGAAAATACTTTGAGCTCAAGTTTGATGGTTAAGATTTCCACCTTTTACTCCCACCGCCCATATTCTTCAAGTGGGAAATAAGAATGCAGCTTGGTTTTTTCAGAGTAGCTGTGTGACTGAAGGTTGTTTACTTAATAAACAGAATATAGTAAACAGGATATTTACCATTTGTTTCAGGAAGTTCTCTGTATCCAACATCATTTTTGTCTACAGGAACAACTAGGCCCGCTCCATGAAATGCTTTGGTCACCACCTAAATAGAGACAGGAAATTGAATATAGCACTGTAAGTCTATACTGTGACATAAAACCACTCATCTCACTAAACAACATTAACACCCAACTGCTGGTGGTCAAACCTAATATAACATCCAGGCTCAAGGACATCAACTTAAGTTTCAAACTATACAGCACTTACTTTTAAATATTGAAGTTGTTTAAAATATCTGGAAACTCCATTTTAGTCAAGTTCTGAAATCTGAGTCCTTGTAGTCACTTGTGTAGCACACTACTACATTTGTTAAGTCATCACCTACCATAATTATTTCTGATAGGTATGCAAAAAAGCTCTACTACTAGTCCATATCATCCTTAATGGTCCTGTTTCTAATATATATATCCAACCCAACTAGTTACATGACTCTTCACTTTGAAGCAGTTTTCTCCATGCTCCCCATTTGTTTCAGTTTTTAAATTTTTTCATTTTTTTTTTTCTTTAATTGAATGCCAAGCTATAGTTTACAAGAGTAATTTAATTAGTGATTTAATCCTATTATTTGGAACACGCTTGTATTAATCTTTCCTCTCCTGAAGTTTAATAGAGAAAGCTAATTAGCTCTGGAAATTCCTAAGTGAAGCATCCTTACTGACTAGAAGGAGGAAAAATAAAAAAGAAACAATGAAATGTAAATGAAGTGAACAATGGAAATGAAAAAAGTTTAACAGAACTTAGTTCTCTCCAGTGATCATGAAAGTCATACTTTCTTATCTCTCTGTTTCATCTTCATGGTTTTTTGTTCCAGAGAATAACCCAGTTCTTTTGCTGTTCTTGTTAGTTTTTCATCTATGTCTTTCAAAATAGCATTTTTCTTTTTATCGGTCACTTCCTTAAGTTTTTTTGACAAAAACAATCTGCAAACAGAAGAAACATGTCTTAAAAGAGCTTAACAGAAAACAAATAAACGAACAGCCTTCTAATCACTAAACCTCCAAATCTTATAATGAAGATTAGCAGGCATGGCTCTATTTATACACACAGACTTGGGAAAGTAAGCCTCTTAACAACAAGAAAGAAAAAAAGTTTGATAGACAGTACTTTGGCATTTCCTATCTGTATTTGCATGACAATATAGTTCATGCAATCTGCAGGTGCTGAAGATTCTCCTGGATTCAGTAGCTGTTCATCTTTCTATCTTAAGAATTCAGTCTGCTGGTTTTGTGCCATGTACGCTGTTTGTCATCTAAGTCATGCACATAAATACATATTTATGAGTTCCATCACGGTGCTTTCAAAACAAGTGTCCTCGTTTAACTCTGCACTACACAAGGGTTCTTTTGCAGAAGCTTTCCTTCAGTATGCTTTCACTTACTGACATGCGTCTGTCCTTAGAGAGCTTTCCATTTTTAAGAGACAGGTCATGAAATCGGTTGTTTACCTTCATGATGCAGGACCACATAAAGCTTCATGAATCATAACAAATTACATATTCAAATAAATGTTATCCTGCCCCAGGTCAGAAATGGTACTTCTTGTAGTTATTCATTATGAACAAAAATAATGTATTTTTATGTAGGCAACAAGAGCTAAATGCTACTCATTTAGTGTGATATTCAGATTTCCTTCACTACTGTTTGAGATGCCCTTTCTTTACTTATGAAGTATTTTAACACACACAGCAGGCATTTTTTTCCCCTACAGAGACTATCCCTGCCAATATATTTAAAGAATGAGACAATTAACACTTATCTATTTTACTTGTAAAAGGAAGACACTATCAAGAAGGCTCTGAAGCCTTTTGACAGTACCTTAAAATTTGCTAGCAGAAGCAGCAAATAAGTTAGGGTTTCCTGAGAAAGAAAGATACATAGTAAGTTAGCTGCATTTTTCCACATCCCATCTCCTAATTAATAGTTTCTCTTCTACTCTACTTTTTATAAATAAAAGTAAATATGAACCTTACTTGACTGCGGCAAAGACATTATCACCGACTTGTGATATCACACAGCCCTTCTTGGCTTCGTTTGCACCAACCCACACTGGAAGCTCATCTGGCACGTCCCTGTTTGTGAAAAAGTAAACACAAATAGTCAAGCCGCATCCATTTCTCCTATTTCCAAGTAAAATTAGTTTGCCTCCTCACCTCCTTCAGAAACCTAACAAGATGTAGATGCCCTTAGATATAAAGCTCTAAAGTGTTAGGGCATGGCTTTGAAAGGAGCTTGTATCAATACATGCAGAGAGAATACATGTTCCCTTTATATCATAAGGCTTGACTTTTTCTTCTAAGTATCATAGCAAAAGTTAAAGATTAATAACTGAAGGTGCTCTGGAGGGTTGGGGGAAGGTAGTCAAATAAATATTTAAATCAATCTAGTCTTCAACTTCAATATCTTTGATCTTTTTTATTAAAAGATATAAACCCGTGTGTTAGTATCTTATTACAGAAGAGAAAGATTCTTGTTTGGTGATAGCACACACTTCTCAAATCCTGTCTCATGGAAAACAGAGGATGAAAAGCCACACATAATTATAGTCCAGCAAGAGCACATATCAAATTGAATACCTGAAATATCCCATGTGATACTGTGTTTTGCTATCCCCAACAAGTATAGTCTGGAATTCTGGGGGATCATAGAAGAATCTCCAGTGAAGATTGAAGTCCGGATCTGTTGATTTTGCTTTTTTGTGTTTTCCAGCAAGAATATCATATGGTCCAACCAGCCTAAGTCCAACACTTGAGACAAGTGCATCTGAAAAGCAAAGCATGAACTGGTGTACTTTCTAGTGGCTGCATATCTAAACCAAGAAGCTCCTGTGTGACTTGGGTATCAAAAGCTTCCATAAATCCAAACAGTCAAACACTGTTAACTGGACAAAGAAAGCTGAGACATTCTTCTTTTATTCAGAGAGCTTTCATTCAAGAGTTAGATTATTACACTTCTCCTGAGAAGTAGTGGTCAACGGCTCAACATCCAGATGGAGACCAGTAACGAGTGGTGTCTCTCAGGGGTCCATATTGGAACCAATACTGTACTGTTCAATATCTTTGTCAATGACAGACAGTGGGATCGAGTGCACCCTCAGAAAATTTACAAGTGACACCAAGCTGTGTGGTGCGGTTGACATGCCTGAAGGACAGGATGCCATCCAGCAGCACCTGGACAGGCTCAACAACTGGGCCCGTGTGAACCTCATGAGGTTCAACAAGGCCAAGTGCAGGGTCCTGCACCTGAGTTGGGGCAATCCCTGGTACCTGTACAGGCTGATGGATGAAGGGATTGAGAGCAGCCCTGCCAAGAAGGACTTGGGGGTACTGGTGGATGAAAACTGGACATGAGCCAGAAATATGCACTCACAGCCCAGAAAGCCAACCATATCCTGGAGGTGATTCTGCCTGTCTGCTCTGTGCTGGTGAGACCCCACTTGCAGTACTGCATCCTGCTTTGGGGCCCTCAGCACAGGAGAGACATGGATCTGTTGGAGCAGGTCCAGAGGAGGGCCACAAAAATGATCAGAAGGATAGAACACCTCTCCTATGAGGACAGGCTGAGAGAGTTGGGGTTGTTCAGCCTGGAGAAGAGAAGGCTCCGGGGAGACTTTACATCAGCCTTCCAGTACCTAAAGGGGGCCTACAGGAAAGATGAAGCTAGACTTTTTAGTAGGGTCTGTTGTGACAGGAAAAGGGGTAGTGGTTTTAAACCAAAAGAGGGTAGATTCAGACTAGCTATAAAGGAAGACTTTTTTTTAAATACAATAAGGGTGGTGAAACACTGGCCCAGGTTGTCCAGAGAGTGGTAGATGCCCCACTCCTGGAAACATTCAAGATCAGGCTGGACAGGGCTCTGAGGAACCTAATCTAGTTGAAGATGTCCCTGCTCATTGCAGGGGGATTGGACTAGATGTCCTTTAGAGGTCCCTTCCAACGCAAACCATTCTATGATTTTTAAAGAATTCATTTCTAGAGCACCTAGGGATGCCATGTTCTGTTATATAATAAATTTGGGGAAGCTGAAACCTGGATTGATATGAGGAAATGTCAGTTCCATACAAAACATTTAAAATGTAGTTGCAAAAAAGGCAGAGTTAGACAACATTTAGTCCCTTTGTATTACATGACTGAAGTAATTATATTTTAGAAAGCTTAAAGTGTACCAACATCTTCATGACTATCTCCCATATTCTTTTGGCACTCATGTAAATACCCTGCATCTTAACTGAAAACTGAAGCAGCATTAGAATGCATCTGACAACCTCCAGTTTGCCTGCCTTCAGGCTGTTTTTGAAAGTTAAAAAAAGCAAAAAATATTTAAAAACCCACCACTTGGTTTCTCAGGATCTAGTTCCTCACAAAACTTCCAAAACTGATAGAAATCTTCAGGCAGTCTAAGCCGATAGCACGTTTCTGCTTCTTGACGAAGATTATCGGGGATATCTGCCTGATCTGACCTTCTCTTCTTGACGTCTCCATTTTTCTCACACTGCAGAGTCAAAAAAAAAAAAAAACAGAACTAAGTTCATTTAATTGCTTTCTGTCTGTTCTAGAAGGACATGGACCTGTTGGAGCAGGTCCAGGAGGGCCACAAAGATGATAAGAGGGCTGAAGCACCTCTCCCTCTGAGGACAGGCTGAGAGAGTTGGGATTGTTCAGCCTGGAAAAGAAAAGGCTCTGGGGGGACCTTATAGTGGCCTTCCAGTATCTAAAGGGGGCCTACAGAAAAGGTAGGGAGGGACTCTCCGTCAGGGAGCGTAGCGATAGAACAAGGGGTAACAGTTTGAAACTGAATGAGGGTAGATTTAGATTTGATATTAGGAACAAATTCTTTACTCTTGAGGGTGGTGAGGCACTGGAAGAGGCTGCCCAGAGAAGTTGTGGATGCCCCATCCCTGGAGGTGTTCAAGGCCAGGCTGGATGGGGCTTTGGGCAACCTGGTCTAGTGGAAGGTGTTTTAAAAAAAAGGATGTAACATGAACTAAACCAGGCTAGGAAATGATCTGTTTAAGCATGCGCACCACTAAAGCAGTAATTTAAACTACCTCAATCCCGCATAAGGCTCCAAGAATTGGTAGGAATCATAATCCCCTGCTTTAAATAATCATAATTTAAAAAAAAAAAAAACAACCAAGAAAACAACCCAAAAGAGGGTTTTTTTTTCCTCTTGTTAGGCCAGTACTATGAGGCAGATATTTCGCCTCTGAAGTGGGCCGCGACTATACCAGGACTCCTAGCCGCAGGCACCCGGGGCGGCTGCCCTTTACCGCACACCCGAAAAGGTGGGCGGTCCCCCGGGAGAAGCCCGGGTACCGGGGCGAGGCTCCCGTGCAGGAGAACGATGGTCCCAGCGGCTTTCCTCAAAACCACCGCACAAAACAGAACGAAGGGCGCGGAACCAGAAGGCCCGGCACTACGACACCGCATCCGCGCCCATTCAGGCCTACAGCCACACGACCGCGGCCCCCGGCGCCC